CCCTTCAGACTGATGGTAGACCCTTCAGACTGATGGTAGACCCTTCAGACTTATTGGAGAACCCTCAGACTGATGGTAGAACCTTCAGACTGATGGTAGACCCTTAAGAGTGATGGTTGAACCTTCAGACTGATGGTAGACACTTAAGAGTGATGGCTGAACCTTGAGACTGATGGTAGACCCTTCAGACTTATTGGAGAACCCTCAGACTGATGGTAGAACCTTCAGACTGATGGTAGACCCTTAAGAGTGATGGTTGAACCTTCAGACTGATGGTAGACCCTTAAGAGTGATGGTTGAACCTTCAGACTGATGGTAGACCCTTAAGAGTGATGGTTGAACCTTCAGACTGATGGTAGAACCTGGTACCTCATAGTCAATGTTCTTGCTGTTCAGGGCGATGTTGATGGTGAAGGTGGACGAGTCGTGGTGTGGCCGTAGGAACGGTTGCTCGTCAGGCCGGTACCGGACCACAAAGTTCATGATGGCCTGAGCCTGGAGCAGAGGAACAGAACTTATAACCAATGGACTAACATTAAAAATAAAGTCAGGACCTGAGTCTAATCATGAACCGAGTCCAATCATGACCTGGTTCTAAACTAAGAGTGTAGGAATATATTGATACACCAAAATATCTATACCACAATATACCACCTTATACCACCTTGTCACAATATAACACAATATACCACCTTATACCACAATATACCAAAATATACCACCTTATATCACAATATTGTGATATAACACGTCTTTGAGTGTCCTAAAACTGCTAYATTAGACTGATGCATTATTATTATTAAAGACCACCTCAGACCCTCAGGACAAACTGTCTCAATGTCTGGACAGGTTCTGGTTCTGGTTCTTACCTTTGGGTAGTACCCGGGGTAGAGTTTCTCAGTGACGGGRACCAGGTAGTCCTTGAGGAACTTCAGCCACTCCTTTTCAAAGCCGATCTGGTTCATGTGGATGTCCACAGTAGGGACGTTCTCGTATCCACCAGCAAGACGCTCGTCCTGATTGGACACAGAAAAATTAAGACACTTTGGACTGGGTTCTTGTGGATCTCACATAATGAGACCATCCGGTACCTTGTGGTTTCCTCCAGACCACGTGCCTAAGTCCTCCATAGTCTCCACCAGYTGGTCACACATCTTATCAGAGAAAGCTGGGAACCAGTAGACATCTGGACAGGGCTGAAAGACACGTGGTTCTCATTAAACTACAAACTTAACAAGAACTGAACCACCTGGTCCTGGTTCAGGTTTTTTTTACCTGCTCCACGATGTTAGTCCCATCTTCAAAGATTTTAGAGTAGTTCTCGTGGACGTACTTCTCCCTCCAGTCCTAAAGAGACAAACACAGGCTCTAAGTCCAAGTCTCAGTCTGAGCTGTCCTTCGGTCCACTCGTGCCAGACTCACCACAGGGTTGTCAAAGATCTGCCACATGTCCGGGTGCAGCCGGGACGTGTTGAAGTTAGAGGATGTCACGAGACGACCAAACTCATCACGGTTGGAGACAAACATGAAGATCCCCTGTGGATACACAGCTGTTAGACCTCAAGTACCACAGTCCAGAGTCCACCATCTGGTGTCTGCTGGACATCAGGTACCACAGTCCAGAGTCCACCATCTGGTGTCTGCTGGACATCAGGTACCACAGTCCAGAGTCCACCATCTGGTGTCTGCTGGACATCAGGTACCAC